CTGGAAAACAACAACAAATTAGCTAAAAATGGTCAACAGAGAAGAACAATTGATTATTTCCGTCACCATCTATCATGAAGCAACAAATTTGCCAATATGTTCCTGACAACATGTTCGTTGAAATCACCTACACACTCAGCGGCTTGACAACCCCCGCACACACACACACACACACATACACACGCACATACACACACACACATCACCGCCACACATATGCATTTAAATCCCTCAATATGTGGACTTCCTCACACATGATCACTCTCCTAACACCTTCTATTGTCTCGTGTCAGTGTACCGCTGGCTGTAGTGGTGGACATTACTTGAGGTTAACTTAATTCTCGATGATATCTCGATAACTTTCACTTTTAAGAGAAAATGTGCATATTAAGATACCCAGAGACGATGATGGCGTGCCGGCCTCCCTCCCTGTCTCAACAGTGTACGTATCTTGAGAGAGAGAGAGAGAGAGAGAGAGAGAGAGAGAGAGAGAACACACCTCGACCACTGCACACACTTAAGACTTTCTCGACCCTCAAAACACAGTGACTTCCTCTTCTATACAAGGCACCGTTTTTCTCTTCGCACAGACTCTTCCTCCTCCTCTTTCTCGCAGACAACCTCCTCCTCTTCCTCCTCTTCATCACAGATCATCATCCCTTCCTCCTCTTCCTCCTCCAAGACCGTCTCCCCTTCTTCCTTTTCTTCTTCCTCCTCTTTCTCGCAGACAACCTCCTCCTCTTCCTCCTCCTCACAGACCATCACCTCCTCCTCCTCGTCCTCCTCCTCCTCCTCGTCCTCCTCTTCCTCCTAGCTCCTTCAACGTAATAGACCATCTCCCCCTCTTCCTTCTCTCCCTCTTCTCCCTCCTCCTCTCTATCAACATAGTACAATCCCCCTCGCACCCCCCCCCTTCTCCCACTCTAGTTCACTTGCACTCTCATCAAACCTGCAACACTTGTTCCATCCTTTCACAGCCAACACCCCTCACTCATACACCTCATACACACAAGAGACCCCAGTCCCTCCCCCTCCTCCTCCTTACCTATACACTAGTACACAGAATACACCTTATTTCACTTGGGGGTAGTAGTAGTAGTATTAGTAGTAGTAGTAGTAGTGTTTGTTGACTTTACAGGTGTGTGTGTGTGTGTGTGTGTGTGTGTGTGTGTGTGTGTGTGTGTGTGTGTGTGTGTGTGTGTGTCTTTATTCCCTGTTTGTATTCCTTCTCATTTATTCATCATTTCCTCTCATCAGTTTAGCTTCCTTCCCACCTATCCACTTCCACCAGGCTCAGTGTTATTTGGATGTTAATCTGGATACCATATTTGTGTTGGTGTGTTATTGTATTTGTTAAAGGGGATTTTGCAAGTATGGCTTCCTTCCTCTTCCTCCTTCTTCCTCCTCTTCCTTCTCTTTCTCCTCCTCTTCTTTTTTTCCTCCACCTCTTCCTCTTTCTCCTCCTCTTCTCATTTCTCCTCCTCTTCTCCTTTCTCCTCCTCTTCTCCTTTCTCCTCCTCTTCCTACTACCATACACTACTACCCCTTACCTCACCACTTATAATCCTCATACCCTTACCTCATATCCTGATACCCTTATACCCTTACCTCAGCCCTTATACCCTGATAATGCTCCTATACCTTCCTTCTGGTATCTTCAGGGTCGGTGGGTACGATGCTAAGGGACACCACCACCACTGTGCCCTTAAATGGTAACTCAATCCCTTATTGTAATCAGGTCTCTCGTTGTCCCTTAAAGGAAATTGGTTCATTCTTACACGAACTGGATTATTTAAAGGACCTATTAGTACGTGTGTGTGTGTGTGTGTGTGTGTGTGTGTGTGTGTGTGTGTGTGTGTGTGTGTGTGTGTGTGTCATTGTGAAAGTATAGGTCGAGGGCAGGTTGGCCTTCCTCTGTATATAGTCCTTAAATTTTTACAGTTGGTCATATGTGTTAAATTACGCTCTCTCTCTATACAGACCTCGACAGATCATAATATCACTCATGTTATATCTACGAAAAGACACATACAGTAGAATTGAGCAATATAAACTAATGTAATAATAATAATAATAATAATAACAGTGATAATAATGATAGTATTGATAAAAATGTTTGATAAAATTAGAGTATTTTGGGTTTTAGGAAGAGAGTGTAATAGCTAACCAACAATAACAGTGGTGAGTGAACAGTGATGGTAAATTGAACAGTTGGTAAATGGCCTAATGCTGTGTTGGGGCAGAGAGGGAAGCAAGAACTGTCACACCAGAATGAGATAATAATGCAGTTGTTACAATGATGGTATGAGGAGCAAGAGAGGGTAATGGTGGTGGTGGTGGGGTGGTGGTGGTGGGGGTGGTGGATGGTGGTGGGGTGGGTGGGGTGGTGGGGTGGGTGATGGTAGTGGGGTTGTTGGAGAAGATGGTGATAGGGTGAGGGTGTGATAGGGGTGGTGAGGTTGTGGGGTGATGAGGTTGTAGGATGATGAGGGTGGGGGTTAGGTTGTGGTGTGCTGGAGTAAACAGCAGAAGTTGTGGTGGAATATGTAAGAAGAGGTGGTGGTCGTGGTCTGGGGTGTTGTGGTGGTGAGGGATGGAGGGCATGGAAGCAGGAGTCACTTGACAAGGGGGGGGGGGTGAGGTGAGGGTAGGGGGAATACAGGGAGAGAGGAAGGGAGGGAGGGTGGCCTGGGCGTCTCACCACACACACACACGCCCTCACAACACACCTCTCCACAACCACCCCTCTATACCACAACCTCTCAACCATGACTCAGGAGGTTGGAAATTGTTGAGTAAGATGAACGCAACGGATGTCAAGAGCGGTGTTTCGCGTTAACTTGGGACCTGTCATTATCAGCGGATCCTACGTCGACATATTTCACGGTAAACAGAGTATGGGAGAACACATCACCTTGGGGGAGTCTAGATGGGATTTATTCACCATATGAAGTGTTTATATTTGCGACCTAAGTTAAGTGAGGCGGCGAGGTACGTTCTCACATTACCACTGATGGGTTAAAAATATTCATTGGAGGAATTTATCAGAACCTGAGCCCTTTGTGGACACGTAAAGCAGTGCCAGGTCTCGTGTGGTGAGCTGCTGCTGGTGGTAGTAGTGGTAGTAGTAGTGGTTGTTGCTCTCGGCCGTTGCTCTCATCAACTAACCTACATTCTGGTCAACACACACACATATGGATGAGGGGCGGTGCTGCAGCCTCCGTCGTGGTGTCTCAGTGTAATGCTTTCTTTAATTACAGATGGAAATTATGGGTTTGTTTTGGGGGTGACTTACGGTTTGGTCTAAGTCGGCGACCGCTTTATGGCAAGAAGGAAGGAAGGAGCGGGCCGGTGAGGTGCAGTGCGGTTGGCCACACTCTCATAACGTGAACGGTAAACTTCATCACTACTAAAACACTGTACTCTTCCTCTCCGTTGTCCCCATTACCCACCGGTCCCATTACGTATCCCAAGGTCATAAGAACACGCCTAAGGTGATGACGTTTAAGAGACCGTAAGAAAAACAGGTGATTGGCAACGCGCGTCGTACAGCTGAGCAGGAGATGACGTCATGACTTACTCAACCTGCCGGCGGCGTGATTCAACGATGACGTCACGGGACAGGAGTAGGGGGAAAGAGATGTAGGAGTCGTGGGTGTCGGAGGCCGTGGGCGTGGGTGTGGGCGTGTCGTAGGCCGTACATCGGGGAGCAACTCGTGTCTTGCCTGATTTGGTGCGGCGCCGCCTGTTTGGGTGTCGTTCAGCAGTGGAGATATATGAGTGTGTGTGTGTGTGTGTGTGTGTGTGTGTGTGTGTGTGTAGAGCTTATGAACGTATAACCTGACATACAAATTTGAGAACAATTAAGCATGGCAGGTCATTAATCTTCTACACAAACACCAAGCCTCTCTCTAATCTTAAGAGGTTCACTAATATTTACATCAAGGTTAAGTTTGGTTCACAGTTCCAAATTCATCTCCCAATAAATAATAATAATAACAATAATGACAAACACTATTCTTACAAGTCGTCAAAATTCTGAGCTTATAAAACTGTCAGGAGTACAGTGCTTGTTAGTGTCAGCCTCCATAGTCAGCTTTCAGTCAGCCTCCTCAGTCAGCTACCTATAGATAGCACCGTCAAAGGTTCTCGTATCAACACACACTGAGGTGACGTTCTTGAGCTCTCTAGACCTTCCTGGAGAGAAAACTACGGTATATACGTCACAGATGACTCATCCTTCTACACGCGCACACACACACACACACACACACACACACACATTGGCCGAGCCATACACACACATACACACAATACAATACACACACACACACGACACCTTTGTAACCTGTCATACCTGTACCATAAACTGGATATTCACACCTGTGTTAAAACACACACACACAATAATATTCACACACACATGGCCTGTCCATTTAAAGAGAGAAGTGAAGATAATAAGACTCAGACATACATAAGAAAACAAAGAAATGTGATAAGTAGAGTAAAAAGGCACAGACAGACGTGTGTGTGTGTGTGTATGTGTGTGTGTGTGTGTGTGTGTGTGTGTGTGTGTGTGTGTGTGTGTGTGTGTGTGTGTGTGTGTGTGTGTGTGTGTGTGTGTGTGTGTGTGTGTGTGTGTGTGTGTGTGTGTGTGTGTGTGTGTGTGTGTGTGTGTGTGTGTGTGTGTGTGTGTGTGTGTGGGCGTGAGTGTGTGGGGGGCAGTTGGTATGTCCTCTCACACAAGGAAAATGTTTACTTGACTAATGCAGGTAGAATTATGTCTATTACTGCGAGGTGGTGGTGATGGTGATGAAGATGGTGATGATGGTGATGATGGTGGTGGTGGTGAAAGAGTTTTAAATGATGGGATGGTGGTGGTGAAAGAGGTGTTAATGAGGGAGGTCATGGTTGGTGGAGATGGTGGTATTGGTGAAGGGGATGAAGGAGATGGTGGTGATGGAAATGGAGGAGGTAGAAGGTGGAGTAGGTAGTGGTGG